ACCTGACACACGGAGAGGGAAGCGTGAGGATGAGGTTGGATCTGGAGAACACAATATGATTGAAGTGGGGTCTTGTATGGTTGTTTCAGAGACATAGTATACATCTAACTGGAAGGTTTCAAGGGTGCTAGCTTAGGCGGCTAGTTGGCCAATCTGATAGTGTGCGGACATTGAGTGCGGCTAAGTGGAAAAGAGATTTTGGTTTCAAAAATCTGATAGCCTCTGAGTGGTTGGCCTCATTAGTTGAACACTGAATGATATCCCGTAGGTGGCCCAAACAGGATGCATCTCTTAAAGTATGGGAGTGAGAAGAGGAAATAGACAGTTGAGAAAGAGGCTTCTCCAAATGGGTACCTAAAACTTTAGGGCACTGCATACTTCGCGATAGCCCACAACGACGAAAGGGTTTTTCTTTGGTGACCCTAGCCGTAGTCTTCGACTCAAAAGTCTGACCCGCAAGGCAATGGGGCATAAATCTAACGCGGGAGCGTGAACCAGGCACCCGTGTGGGAGCTTCTAGAGACCTGTCACGCAAGGCCTTTGAATTTCGGTTAGGTTTGTTGTCCGCTGGTCCAGGATGGGCCCTTAGCTTCATGCACCCAACTAGACAAGCGGAATGTGGATGGGACAGCACCTTATTGGCTGGGGGCTGCCCAGCTTGAGCGGGCGGTAGCTATCCAATGAAGTGCGAAAACTTCTCCCACCGTCGAGAGGAAGCCCCAGGTACCCCGCTATTACGTCCATCTAGCGGGTTTTCTTGACCGGTAAACTGCCCCTTACCGTGTTTATTTACTGGAATGCCCTCTCCAGTGGCGGGTGGGGATAGAAAAGGAAGCCAGGAGGTGCCCAAGCAGCTGGCCTTATGAGACTGATCTTCGTTTTGTCTCTACCCCTTCACCTTTCAGGCATGATAAGATCTGCGGCTGAGGAGCCATCCTGTATAGCTCGCATAATCATTGAGGCACGCAGGCCATCACACCACGTTAAAGTGCAGTCTCGTCGTCATGGCCTTCTTCTGTTAGGTGATGGGTTTATTTTGACTTATCTGGCTACTTGTAAAGAGTTGGCTGGCCTTCATAAATGTCCTCCGATTTCCCGTGGGAGTGTAATACATGAGACTTCTCTAAATCGGTTATTTTTTCAAGAGATAATCCTCAATCAACAGTAGGCTGTTGCATGGTTTTCGGCGGGNCTCATTCTCCATTTGGATCCGTTTAGTCGCTCTACTCACAGATTGTGCATAGTTAGCTTGTATCTCTATACCTCAGAGCATTCTAACGCCCCGCATCCATTATGTGATGTTTTCTAAATCCGTAAAAGTCCAGTGTGTATGCATGGCGCTCTGTCCACTAGGGGTTCTTTGGGGTTGTTGCTTTTCACGGACCCCCTGGAGTGACTGACCACATGTTTAAGATGACAATCCGCGGAAGTTCTTGGGAGTTTAGCATAAATTTCGTCCTCAGCAATAACGGCGTTCGGATGCAGTTTTCATCTCTAGCGCCTGCGCATCCCAGTGCTATCTACTGGGCAACTGGCTAATAATACAGGGTTGCTAGTACCTCTGTATGGACTGTTACGTCACTCAACTGTTTCCAAGTTTACAGATATCCCCGGCGGGTACAAGGTCATCGCTTTGGGCGTTGGGTCCTGTGAGCGATTTCATTTACTTAACTAGATTAAATCATATTCGTACGTTTTAACATCGGTCCGCGGATATCCCGGGTACTTCCAAACTGTTCTGATCCTCCTATGTAGCGGTATCCCGAAATGTGATCGTTTTTGTATCCTGACAGCTATGAGCCCAAGATGAGGTCTGCATATCGGACGGAAATTAAAAACAGCCGAAGGACGTCCCTGGAACACAGCAGTTCACTAAGCCAGAATTTCCGCCTCAAACAGACACATTTATCATACGGGTTCTGCATATGCAGTAAACTATAATAACAGGGTCGTTATCAATAAAACAGCTATTGTGGTTCGGAAGTTACTGATTGATAACCACCGGTTGAAGAATGATAACTTCTCCACAACTATAGAACAANCTGTGTCTTGCTTATCGCCATTGAGCAGTTTTTTCCACAAGATCTATTTATTCTCCATGCATTCATGACTTTTTTCATTCATACTCTGTAGTGGTTTAGGTTGTTGTCACTAACGTGCTTTGGGCCATAAAATCCGAGGTCCGAACGTTGTGACCATCATCCAACTTTGGTAGTAGAAAGTTTCTCTGCCATTCGGCTTAATAACACGTGCATCTTATTGACGTCCTTATGGTTCACCACTCCCAGACTGGTTAACGTGAGTCAACAGTAGGTCGTCGTGAATATTGATTGGACCCCTTTTATTATTCATCACATGTGAGTGTGTGATCATAAATGATGTGAACTTCATGGTCACGAAAGCCAAATGTCAACTTTGGGGAGTCGGGAACCTTCGTCCTCGGACCTGGTTTGAGGAACTACATACGGAGCGATATTGATTCAGACGGCTGCGAAGCTATTCATCATTGCTATAATTCAATTGCGCTTAAGGGACACTTAAACTACGATTGCATAACAAGGCAGCGAGCAATAGCTAATTGAATCTTCCGAGGAATCAAGCGAATATAAATCAAAAATCCTTTCACCACTATTCAGTTGTTTTCACCTGGTTGGCTATTCTCATCATCATCATCATCAGTGCGCCTCAATCGGCTACCTCCTCACCCCTGTAGAATGTAAAACCTAAACAATCTCATTTAACCGTTTAATCGTCAGTTGATTGTGGAAATCTCGTCTTTGCTGAGCTCATGCGTTTTAAATCATCAGTGACAATTAATTGTCATTTTCGGGTTCTATCCTTACTATCCTGAATTGGTTTAGCTTTTGTTTGTTTGCTTCTTGGACAGACAGTCTTAAAATGCATTCTGTTTACGTTCTTTTAGTCCCATTTGGTGGCCCCTACCCGGGAGCGATCAAGATGTACAGAAACAACGCTGGGTTTGTCATTATTGTAGTAAGTTGTACTACTTCTTTCCGTTGAACACCTGTATCCCTCTTTACCCCACTAACACTCGCTTTCTTCACTTTGGTCTTCCGTCCGCTCACAAAGAGATTCTCGGCTACAAAAAATTGGATTCAAGTTACTGTTCGAAGATGCTTTTTTGCGGATTTACTGTTGGGATCTCGCTCTTAGATTACGGCTTAAATGCTTCTGTCGTTCGCGCACTCGTATTTTTATGACAGCGTAAACGTGTACATTGGTATTCCCAAGAAATCAAGTGTTCCTTTTCAAAAGACCCAGACCAAAAGATAATTGTTGTTGCTGAAGATACAATCAATAGTCAAAATTACAGAAAAACAGTTCAGTTCAGTCCCTTTTTTACAACCATTAATCATGCGCTCTCATGCACCGCTTTTGGTTACTCTCTCATGACTGCCCATCCGGATGAAGGAGTACAGGGTTGGTTGGAAAACAAGTGAGTCACGATCAGCAGCAAGGCAGTTCGAATGGTACGTGATCCATATTTTTTCAATGGGAAACAATACCCAGAGTGTTGTGTGCGTATTCTTGATTGTGAATCGCTTCCTTCAGCCCTGGAAATGTCCAGAGGCCTAAGGCTCCAGTGATACAAACAGATTTTCCTATAGAAGAAAAAGTCTACAAATTTTTCACTCTGCTGATCGTACTAACTTCATGGCTGTAAACGTTTGCCCTCTCATTTTTCTACCCCCTGTGGAAGAGTAAAAGTATTCTTTTCAATTTTCGTCATCTCTAATACAGACGAACGGGGACATAAAATCCAGTTCTGCTTGAAGCTACCTTTGGAAGAGCGGCTCCGTCTGCAAGAACAACAACGTGTCCAGGGAATGGCCAATGCTGCGTTGGGTGGGCCCGGTGGTCCAGCAGGTGGTGGGGGCCCTGGTGGTGGCCCCTTGTCNCTTGTCCGGTGGAGCTATGGGCCCTCTGGGTGCTCGCTTCGCCTCCGAACGTCTAAAATACGGTGGTCTCATGAATGTGAATCAGTCGGCCGGTTCTGGTCCGCGTCAAGGGCCACAGAAACCTTTGGACGAAGTAACATGTTTCAAATGTGGAGAAAAAGGACACTATGCAAACAGATGCAATAAAGGTTACCTGGCATTCCTGAGCAAAGTTTCCCTCCAAAAACCTCACGAGACAGAACCGGCACGTGGTTAAGTTGTGGCATGTAAAACTTTGTCGTTCTGCATACATGTAAATACCTTTGATTCTCCACCGTCTTTTGAGAGCACTGAATACATTCCCAAACAGACAGACACTGGTACTCCTCACCATGCGGTTTTGAATGTGTCGATTCCTATCGGTCGTTGAGATTTTACTTGGGTAAGATCTACGGTTTATTCAATACTTTACATTTGAATCTTGCCAGGTGGTGGCTTAGTGATCTCCCAACTGAATGTCAAGCCACTCCAAGTTCCATGGCTTGAATAGTCTTTTCGTGAGATATTAGTAACTCATCGAGGTTATAGGGTTTGCATCTTTTCCTGTTCGTCATTCATTAGTGTATGTAATAAAATAATATCAAAGAGATTCAGCGCTTCTGAATTCAATTTACTGAGGTTCCACCTGGTCCTAGGTGTTACCGACTACTGAGTGTTGAAACCTTTCTCAGAAAAAGACCTGTAAAATTATGGCTTTGTTAATTTGTGTACTATGTTAGTAGATTTAGAATCCACGGATAAACTATGAGGCCCCTAGGCTCGCTCTTCAGTTGGGTCGATGGATTCACACTGCTAGTGAGACCCAATCAGGTCGAAACAGCTGTACAGTGCTTCCTTTCAACTCACGCCTCATTCACACAGTGAATTCATCGTCTAACAAACTGTATTAACAGTCATTGGAATTTGATAACAATCGGGATTCATAAGTCAAGGCAGTGAACATAATCTGACGTTTTCATCATATATTTCTCGAGATAAATTTGAAGAGAGAGCACCACAAAGCTAGGTTGCACGATTTATGCCAAGGCAGATTTCACTGCACCTCAACCGTGTAACCTGATGTGCTCTTCAGCCATATAAACTGTAGTTTTCTGCCGTAATTTACCAGTTGAGAGGCATCGAAATTTGCCTTGGCGGCAGAGGTTGCCCGTCATTCCCCTTGATAACACTCCGCAATTATAAATTATCTACACACATCCTCTAAATCCTGATAGAAAAGTCTGTTTTCGAATAAATATAAAAATGATAGTAACAATAATACCATCAAAAAAATGATAAAGTGATACAAGAATAAGGATAATGTAAATGGTATCAAAAATAAAGAATAAAATATTCAACAAGAATAAATCTATATTATGTCATCTGGAAATCTCTGATCAGGAAAATAAAACCATAAGCTATGCTTGACCTCATCCAAATGGTCCCAAAAAGGTTCCCAGATAGAGGGGCTTCTTGTACTTGCAGCACCGCAGAACACCGCAATCTCTGCTCCGATGATACTACTGCCTGTGTATCATATGCCGACATAGACATAACTTTTCTTTGAGAAGCAATCAACGGTCCTGCATGTACTCAATGGAAACAAAACCACCAATTTGGCTCAGCATTTTTTTGGAAGTTAGAACGGCCAGTTATACCTTCAAGGTCACAAATCAAAACAAATTGTCTGTAATCGACCTTTTTACAAGACTTAGAGAAACCATGATAGAATTTAATATGACAGAAAATAGACTAAAGTAAAAGTCGTGAAGTCAAACATGAAGGGGGTGGCATAAATAGTCAACGTCCACCGAATTGCTGGAACCTGCCGTTCTCTAATAACTGACCTTTTCCGTCAAATTAGGCAAAGTCTCACAGGGTTGTTTCCTTCCAACTCTTCCCATCTATAAAACAGATGTAATAGTCAGCCTTCTCTTTGTTTAGCTAACATCCAGCTGGTTTGTCTTACCTTGAGGTGTAACTCTGCTTTGTTTGTTACAGTGTTCACTGTACCATGATTTGCTTGATAGTGTCACAAAAATGTGCAATATAACTTGCAACTAACATCGGAAAGTGGCTCTGTTACATATCTCAATTTCATGCCTAAGTAAATAGTCATGGTTAGTGTGAGTACAGACTAGTTGTCTTCACTGATGTATTCGAATTCTGAATACAAATATATCGAAAAGAAAATTTGAGATTAAATCAAACTTTCAAATGCATAATAGCTAAATAATTCAATCTCAGAGATGCCTTCATGGCTTTATCCCCGTAAATGTTTGTTCACTGTACTCGTTTTTTTTGGCTTCGCTTTCCAATGATGTTCATCAAATAAACAAGGAGTTTGTGAAGGTTTAAATTATAACAGCGATCTTCGTTTGAAATTATCAGTCCTGGCATGGTTCTTGTTTAGTGCAGACCTAGTTTGGTCTTTTTTACTGTACATCAATGTGTGATGCACAACAGACGAGGTGGAACCTACAGTCATGAAGACCTTCTGTTCAATGATGGTAACAGGCAACCTAAACCCCGGGACTGCGAGTGGCGAACCACCCAAGACGTGGTATAGAACCGGGTGATAGTGAAGCTGGCTACCACCAAAGTGGGATGGTGGTGGCGCCGCTCGAACCTCGGACTACAGGGTCCGAAGCACGCCGGCAATAGCGACTAAACCACTGCACCTTATCTAGATCTGCTTCCCTCGAAACAAATTTTCTTTAACGTTCTACTGAACTTATTGTTTTCACTTCATGGTTATCAGCTGGCCTAGGATTATCGGGTCATGGGATCAAATACCATATTCGTTCGTATTGCTTGCGAGATTTTCTTTTCGACCTATTTTCAAATCTCGAAATTTGACCGAATCGTATTTTTCCCCGGTTGATTTCACTTGTCCCAGATGTGAAAAGGTATCAAATAATTCATTTTCAGCACATTTATTTGCATTTTCTCACATGGAGTTCTAACTCGATCAGTTTATCCTTCTGCCCCGGGCTTGGACTGCGCAAAATCATTCCGCTCAGATTGCCAGTAGTGTCGCTTATTTCAAATCGCCATCGATCACCGTCTTCTTCGCCGAATTGAACTATATTGAAGCATAAAGCGGGGATCATTAGGACAAGAATAAAAGTGCACATTTCAATGCTGCTCAATTGCAAAAGATAAACGTGGTCATTCTAGGGGTGGGCTTGTTCTCACAAAAAGAGGCAGATTGAGATAGCTAAATGCGTACAGATAATGTTCACAAAAGACGAAGGGCATATGTGCAGCCTGAATTGATGTTTTTGGTTAGGTGACCGCGCCTGTTTTATCGCCTACTTAAGGTGCACAGCATTTTGACGCAATTCAAGCACTCACATCTAGTAGTTACAGTCTCATGATAAAAAACTCTGCAAGCAGACGCTTTGGTCCACTAACTAATGGTGTGCCAGCCATTGTTTCACGGTCATTGCTACTTTGCTTACACACGATGGAGTGGTCGAGTAGCCAGACTGACACAGCCCGCCTCAATTTGGAACTACTTGCCAAATCCACAGATAGATTGGGTGAATACAATGACACCGATGTACACTCTTGCGATCGACTTGGTGCTGAGACATGAAACATGTTCATTATTTTCACCAATCAAGTTGTAATTTAGCGGAAGTGATATAGTTTTAGGGCTAGAAATATAAACCGTTTAGTACAAAGGAGGTTACACAGACCGGTGTTGTTGGTGAGCGAAAACGTGTCCCGTTAATTCAAACTCTATGTGATGAGAAATTTTCCCGAACACACGACGTATTACCTGGAGGTTACCCTCTGGCACCATCTTACCTGCGACAGACCACGTAAGTAGCAATGGTCGATGATCCCTAATCGGTGTTAGTCTTCCACACACGCAAATCCAAGTCCTCATTATTGTAAAGCACAGGTGATTGTACTGTGGTGCAGTATACGCAGCCCTCCATTTTCGGTTAAATGTCACGACGACGCCTAGGGTGTCTCGGTTCAACGGACGCCGCTAGAGCCTTGGAAATCCATGCGGTCACCTTCTTCGCTGCCCTACTGAAATTCATTATGTAACTGCCTAGATAGCCGTTTCCTGGTCAAAATTCAAAGAAACAGTGGTCGACACCCGATCTTTCATGAAAATCACGAATACCAAAAGGAGCTACATGATTGTTAAGTGTGCCTCTCCCATCCTATGAAAAATTCGACATTGAGTCTTTTGTTTGTGAAGTCTAAATCAGACTGCTTTTATCCAGCGGCCCAGTAAGACCCACATTTTTGAAACTTTTTACGGTCTTCTCGAGATTTCGCTTTCGACGGAATTTAACAGTAATGGCAAAACAGAACCCCACTCGATCATCGTTTGCGGGTTATAGAGAATAATAGGATTAAATAAACTCAATAAGCTGAAAAATTGTCATTACTGATGGAATTGTTTGGGTAATTTTATGATCTGTTATAATCAAAAAACAAACCCACCTGGTTCATCTCTGACCGGTTCCAAATTCGTCCATTCACTACATTGAAAAGTGATTCAGAAAGGTTGATCATGGATAGCAAAAAATGGAGAACAATGCAAAACTAACGAATGATAAGTTGATAAGGAAAATAACAAAGTAGTTCCATTTCACCTTTTCGCCGAAATTGAGCATTTATTTGCAAACTTTTCATTACCTACCGCGGCAGGCATCTTCAGTGATTGTGGGTGGCAGTATTCTATTTGTATCTTTTCGTTTATATATACATACACACACACACACATATATATATATATCATCATCATCATCGTACAGCGAAATACCGTAAAGCGAACTTCACTGACCGCTGCCAAACTCACAATGCATACAAGGTTAGTGTTGAAATTTAAGGTGAACAGGAGTTGGATCTATTTTGAGGAAGGAAGAAGATGAGCCACTATGGTCAACACACAGAGTACCCAATCGAACTCTGTATACATACCGTCTAAAGCATTCTGACTTGATAAGAAATGACAACAAGAACAACACTGCTGCCGGTTCGCTGCCATATCCTTCAATGTCTCCAACCAACCAGTTGTGGGGTCTTTCGGACCCCAACCCGGGGTGGCGCGAGACACCCACTTTACCCAATGGCTCTGTGTATTTCTTCATGCCTCGTCTCCACGTCATCTGTTGATATCCACGTGGTTTCCTCCAGCCCGGATTGGCTACAGCGAATGAAGCGCGGTGCGGCAGACGATGGCTGTGCATACGCAATACGTGCCCTAGC